ATTTTAAATTATTTTTACTGAATCAGGTGTCTGCATCAAACCGGATTTTTTTTTTTGAATCATTTTAACCAGTATCTTGGCTACTTTTCCAGATGAAACAAGGATGTGTGGTGCGAAGTTTAACTTGCACTGAATGTTCTGATGACAACCTCTTTTGACTAAGCTTTCCATGCTTTGAAGTAGGGAATAGAAATTTCACAATAAAGGCAGGGCATCATATGGAAACGATACAATGATTCATTCCTCCATATAAAAATTTGAGCCATTGGGCCGAGCTCTGAATCTTCCAAAAAACTGCAGCCTGCATATCTGTTAGCGTTTAACAGCTAAAATTCTACACTCAATGAAAAAATTCATGCTTTTCATGGCTTTTTAGTGATATCCAGATTGTCTATATAATGGCCTCAAAGAAGAGCTAAGAAATCATCTGTCTTCTAAAAGTTTTTGTACATGAGCCAGTGGGGCATATGCAACCCCCAAACTACACATACATTACAGGGCTTCAGGAAAAACACTGACTATTCTGAGCAGAAATGAGACTCAGCAATAGCAGGGCTGGGCTAGGAGGCAGGGAGGGCTGTACACCATGTGTGCATGGGAAGCAGGACACATACGAAAGGAGGAAAGGGAAATGACACTGGGAAGCCACTCTCCTCATGAGAGACCTATAAATTCTTCATTCTAAAGATGTTGGGTTTTATGGGCGCAGCATCTTTTTACGTAAAACTGAAGTGCACAGAACAAGAGGGAAGACAAGTCTCAAGGGAAGAACACAGAGTTGGGCAGCCTAGACAAGGAAGATTAGGGGCCAGGAGCAAGGCCTAAATAAGACAAAGAAGCAAACATGACAGGATAAGAGATGAAACACGGAAAAACAGGAGGAGCATTCAGGAGTCATGGATCTATAGGTCCAAGGGGATATGTTGTCTGCAATTTAGCTTCTTCAGAGATCTTGTATCATAATCTAAACTGGCTGACTGCAGTGCCACTCTACAGCAGGGTAAGCCTTGTGTTCTTCTGAACTCAGAGTCTAAATCCAGTTGTTGCAACATCCCCAACATGTTTTGTGACCCCACCTGAAGACATTCTGTGCCTCTCTGTGAGGATTTCTCCTATACAGAGTCAAGGCTTCATCAGTTAGGGATTCAAGTCACATTCTCCAGCATGTGGCAAGTTTTGTTTAGAAATGGCAAGTGCAAAGTTATTTTTAGGTTCTGGGAGCCTTAGTTTACTCAGGATCAGTTGGGATCTGTGGCTTTTAACTGTTTTACCATTTTTTTCAACTCTTGTTCCTGAAAAAAACTTTCTTATCTCTTGCTACCTAAGAAGAAAGAAGAAGAGTAGGTGACTTGGGTTTGCTTTTTCAGTCCAGCATAACTCCCTGTGATCTGCTTCCAGGTAACAGTGAAGTCTTACTGGCTGCTGTTGTCTCTCTACCTGTGACATATCTCCAGCATTGTCCTTTATAAGCAGTCTTCACATTAAAGGAGACAAAACTGCAGTAAATATAAAATGGCATACCAATGTGTTCTTCCAGCCATTATACCAGGAACTGTGAGGAAAAACCTCCCTGTGGGAGGGAAACTGCAATTGAAAGGCAGGTCCATGTAAGAGAGAAGTGTGTAAGAGGCTGGAGAGGATGGCCCACAAAGTGCATGAGATGAAAGGATAACTTGTATGATTTCCTGGAACTTATTTCTGGGGGATCTACAGTTCTTGAGAGCTTGTCTGCCACAGCCATCTGTGTCACCTATTAGCAAAAGTCCCCTTCCTTACACCTTTTGTGCTAGTGCCCAAAAATGCTGACATCTAAGACTTAACTTAGAAGCTCAGGGGTGAGAAAATGGATCATTGGTTTGGATAATTAACATTTGTTGTTAACATGGCACCAGAATGCAGAGCACCTGCCTCCAAGCATGCTTTGTCACCTGGGATGGATGCATTGATTTTTTTTAACCATGCTAAAATAATACTAAATTGGTGATGGGAACTGCATCAAGGTTAAGGATCACACTGTTAGACTTGCTGTTCAAAAGTCTCCGCTACTGCCCACCCATATGTAAGAACAAAAAGCTGTAAGACTTTGTAACTACATAACTAAATGCTCTTTTGCTTCCCAACAAACCTTTACTCCATCCACTCTCTAGACAGGATGGTTCTCACTGTGAATGTAGGAATGAAGTACTACTGCCCATCAGCGTGGAGTCTGGTCCCTGACCTGTAACGTCAACAGAGTCTTATTTCCTGATTTAAAGCCCTTTGGATACACACACGCCTGTGATGATGAACTGCAGATCAACTCACGTCAGTGTGCAATAAAGCTCAGCTTTTCTGTGGTCTGTTATCATCAGTGTAGGTGAGCTTATGAAGATAAACTGGTCTGCAGTACAACAACTGCTGCCAACAAGTGAGATGTATATAAAAAGGCAATCGTTATCTGGAGAGGTAGGAAGGGTAAGACAGCATGAACTCATAGTGTCCCACATTACAGAGTCCTAAACCAGCAATAGGCAACAAGAGACCTGGGGACCTCTGGCTGGTTCAGGACAGAAATTCATCTCCCTCTTTCCTTCTGCCTTAGTGTTTTCTCAGTCAATTTTATCATACATTTATTTCCTCAGCCCAAGCACTATAAAAGCTAAAATATGTGGCAAACTGGCACAGCTCTCAGAGCAGGTGGATTCAAATGCCATTCATATTCACATCAAACAATAAAATGCTCGTGCCTATCACCAGGATGAGGGGAAATAATCATGCAGAAGACTGATACACTGAGGCTCGCCTGTTCAGAGCTCATAGAACAAGCCCAATGGGCTATTTTGCATCATAAAAATTATGGAGAAGTAAATGCATCCACACAATAATGAGCCATTATGGCTCATTAGAGGCTCAGCTTGCAAAGTCCAAAGTGTACAAACAGAGGCATAGAGGACAAATGTGAACTAAGCACTGTACCCTGCCCTCTGCCTGCACCAACGGTTTACACGTATCTGGTGAATGATTTATAAATCTACAGATAACAAAGTATAAAACTGTGTCACTGTCTTCACTTTACAAAGGAAACCCTTTCTGAATAATTTGCCATGTCTCTGAAAATGTTTCAAATTTTGGTGTCTGCTCTGCTGTTTACAGGTAAGTGCCTGGCATCCTGTCTCATGTCACTCCCTTCTGCCTTGTTAATAGTCAGCTGGCAAAAACCCCTGTGTCACCACCAGAACAGCACTGATGGAAGAGAATTAACTGGAAATCACTGCAGCAGGGACATATGGGAGAGTGGGTGAATGCAAGATTGCACGGCAAATTCTGTGAAATACAGTTTGATTCTGCTCCTCGTGACTACTTTTGAGCCTTTTACTGCTCAACTCTCATGTATAAGGGGCAAGGATGCATTTCTGACTGAAAGGTATTTTTACAGGATGATTTCCTGAACTGGTAAAATTGTAGAAAGAGCTTAACACTGTTTCTATGGAATCTTCCCTAAATATTATTCTGATCTCAACATTTACTGTTTACATGAAACAATTTCACATGCATTTATAAGGACCCAAAATGATCTATGTTGCAAGTGATTTCTGGGATGCCTGATTTGAATGGCTTAAGGAGACTATTTTTTTTAAAGTGCTCGGGCTGTCTGATCACTGATCCTTCACAGTACCCTGTAACCAGGGCACCTACAATCAAGACTCAACCTATAAAACTTGGACCAGAGGGAAAATGGATGGGGCAGGGCTGTCACATGCTCTTCCCAAAGCAGCACACACTGCTACAGTCAATGATCAGTGATGCACATGCTGCGAGATTAATTTATTTCTCACTAAATTAGAACAAAAAAAGCAGTGACTGTTGACTTCTCAGGTGATTGCCTGCACCATAGAAAGATGCTCTATCCACATGTATGAACTAAAAGCATTTCTTAGACCCGATTGCTCCAATACACATGCAGTGAATAAATGATGTGGACAGCTAAGACAAAATGAGGGAGACAGAATTAGCCAATATCAATCATGAATTAATGAAAAAGGCATTTTCCGAATTGGGACCACAGCCAGGTGTAATTCCTCTTTTGGGCCAAATTAGTTTCCTTGTCATAAGACCCTGAGTTTTGGCTGCAGTGAAACTCCGTAGGAAGGTAAGGAGTTGGAAAGGGACTTTCTCTCTCCTGCAAGTTAGAGTTAACCTAGAAACCTTCTTTCCCCCTTATTTATGTTTCCTGATCTTCTGTGCACGCGAACTTGGACCATTCCTAGGGACTTATCTATCCTGAACTTCACCTCCTTTCCATTGAAGGCCATCATGACGCAAACAGTGCCACCTGAAGTCATGCTGGGAACCCATCAGCTTGCTGCCTCTCCTTTTGGAAGACTTTGTTAGGAAAGGCAAGAGACATAAGGCAGATTAAAGTAGTCTTGTTTTCCCTCTTTCCCAGGCTCCTGTTCTTCAAAGGGCAGGCAGAATAACTTATTACTGATTTTTAATGAGCTCTTAAAAGTTTCATTGATCAGAAACAGTTCAGTTTTTCATTAGTTGTGAATCCTTTCAGCAACAATGAAGGTGGGGGTGAAGTAAAACAGAAGCTGTAAAATTCACTAATAAGAATCTAACTTTTCATCACGTCCTCAACTCAGATTTTATAAATCACTCCTCATAGTAAACCACAGTCACATCTCTGCAAATAGGCTTTCTGGACCTTTTCCCTTGTCTCTGCAGAGTGCAGCAGCAAGGGATGGAGTACAAGGGTGATCTCTTGGCACTGGGATAATTACTAACATCTCTTGGATGTCTGATGGGGGTGTCTTGCCCATTCATTCAAGGTTAAACTGATAGCCACATATGGGTTTAGAAAGGAAAATTCAACAGGACCCACTGAATGGACCAATGCTTTTTCTAATATATTTTACTGCAGAGCAAGTAGTTCCTTCCTTAGGATTATCTAGGATTTTTGCCAAATTGCCTCACTATTTACCCATATGTGACAATTTTCTGACCCTTGGCATCACACCAGAACAATGTTCAATAGTTAGTTCTTTTTTAAATGTCTGTAACTTGTCTGCCTCTGCTGATGAGGGAATGACGCTGATGCTGTAGCTCTAACAACTGTTACTGACTGAGCTCTCATCTCTTGAACCACAGGGCTCTTGTGTCCTGTGATGTAAAATTAAAATTGTCAAAGAATAAAGACTACTTTATTTCAAGCTTTGAAAATAAACAGATGAGACCAAAATTTCAAAGACTGTATGATATGAACAGTGTTGAAGCTCTTAAAAAATCAGTGACTTTAAATCAGTAGATATTAGCAAATCTGACTAATTTAATTTTATTCTAAGGCCTGCTAACATCCAAACCCTTTGGGGTACAAAGCCAATGTACATACACACATTTCTTTTTTAACACTTGAAAAAGCAATATGCAGATGTTAGACTTTAATGTAATTGCACTTTTCTACTGAAAAAACGTGGTGTCTGGGCCAGAGGTGGCCTGCAGAATCTAAAAGTCTATCCCTGCTGCAATCCATCCATGCATGCAAAGTACTGACAAAGAACCACATCTTGATTTCCATGGAGTGCCACCCAACATAGAGAAATACTTGAGTGAGGAAAAAACTAGCTACTTCCACACCTGTTTTTTAGCACTTGCACTGTTGTGCTGTGGACTCTGAGTCCCCATCCCAAGTTCTGTGGTCTGACTTCATGAATTTAAATTTAGAAAGCTAAATAGCTGAAGAATGAAGGGAAGGTGATCCATTTTTGCTCATAGCTAACCTTAAGAAACACACCTGAGCTGCAGCATTCAATTTACTTTTTCAAAGTTCCCAACACGTCAGCACCTGCCACCTCAGCAAGGTTGAAGTTTAGCTCTGTCCAAGTTTAGTCTCTGCCCAAACCTTGTGCTAAAGTGTTGATAAGACTGTCAGCCTTAGCCCCACGGGCTGACATTTTGACCAGTCACCTAAGCTGATAACAAGAAGAGTTATGAGACTAAAAGGAGAGGAGCGAGAACAATGGCAAACTTTTGACATTTAAATTCTATTGATATTAACTTCAGCAATAGATTTTCAGGCTGTCAGAAACTTGCAATAGTCTTCAGAAACAAGGGAGAAACAAATAGTCTCAGTCTATGTAACAATTTGCACAGAGACTGACTGAAGTGCTGCTAAGTAATTGTCACTTATTTTTTGTAAATATCACAGCAAATCAGAGATAGACCTCTTTTCCCTGTGGTAGATGCACGCTGGGGTAAATTTTGGTCATGCTTCTCATCACTTATAAAATACTGCTAGATAAAAAAGTTTCTCGGGTGGGGAGGAGAAACAAAAGCATATCCTACAATAAAGCAAGTTTAAAGGTTTGTCCTATCATTTAACTTTGTCATTAGACATGCAAATAGTGGCCTGCTTGTTCTCCCCAGACTGCTAAGCACACGAGGGTTCATGCTGCTTAGCTTTAAAAAGGAAAAGTTATATCAATTAAATAGGTGCCTAAGTAGGAAAATGTGTCAAAGTTTAATCTCATACTCACCTTTTTGACTGTGTGATGAAGTGGATCATTGTACATCCAGCTAAAAGAAATGGGTGTCTTTCGGAGAAGATTTTCTGTGTGTCCCCAGCTAAGTATCTTGCTTTCTAGAAACCTATGCTTGCACAAGACAGTTATCTTCCATTTGAGTCTAGTGTGAAGAGATTTTAATGCAAAATAATTTAAGATCTATCCAGGTCTATTAAGGTCGATTTTATATTTTAAGTACAGTTTGCTTGCTATACTGTAATACTTTCTATTTTGACATTCCAAGTATGCCTTTTTATAATCAGTTTTGCTTTTCATAATCAGTTTTTACAGTCAATGCTAAATAAATATTTTCTTTTTTTTTGACAACGATGGTTGCTGGTTTTACCAGCATCTCCCTTCTCTCAAGTTTAGTCTTAAATCAGATCACAGTAATCCAAAATTAGATACTCAGAAGGCACCGCAGCAGAATGATTACTAATAGTTTTCCCTCTGGACAATCTCTTTAGGTGTGCAGGATAGACAAAACTATCTGCTGAAGGCAATAATTACATGAGCTAAGCATCTGCTTGCTAAAACCAGCCAATTTTTCTATAATTTGCTTTTCATATGAGAACACTGAACAAATCTTCAAGAGATGATAAAAGGAAACATTCTAACTGGTAACAGCTGATACAACCTCTGCAATAGTTCACCCTCCACGCATGTTCCTCCTATTTTCCCACTGGGCCATTTATCCCCAAATGTGCTTTACAAATAACATATTTATCTAAGAGAAAAGAGTATTGAACAAAAACATTAACTTACAATATGTCTGATTGCTCTTTACAGTGAGTTAACTGTTTTGGAACAAGTTGAAATTCTTCATTTTTTTTGGAGCTCAATTTTATGCACTGTGAGCCATTTCATTAACATTACCCACCTGCTCCAAACTGCCTCTAGTCTCACATCCAGATGCTCTGAGATTCTATTCTCCTGGTTTGTGTGCTAATCTTCTACAAGATGGAGAGGTGCAGTCCTTCCTGAATAGCCTGTGTTTATAAAACATCCACCCGAGCAACAAACTTCCACAATATTCTACTAAGATGTTCAGAAGCCGGGGAAAAATTACACCCATTCCAAGGAACTTAAACTGAGGCAAGACACAGGTTATTTGATGAAGACTATACACTGTATTCAGAGGGGTTACTCAGATGGGGACATCTGGTCTGATGCCCCCAGGTTTAGAGATCTGCCAGAGCACAAGCAAATGTGCAACCCTGTTTGTCCGTGTGACCAGAGTGAAAGACCAGCAGGGATATTTCTGGTTTCACTATAAATGCTCTCACTAGAGTTTTCCCGTAGGTGGACAAATTTTGCCCTGTTCAGAGTCTTATAATGAGTTTTACAGTAAGATGAAAAGAGAATGAGCTAAGCCTCAAGGATTAGCTGGAATATAAAGGCACTTACCTCAGTTCTCTTGGTACTTATGCATCTCTGGAGTGCCCCAGTAGCTGGGAACGAGTCCTGCAGACACTGCTCACAGGTGCTAAATGTGAGAGGTGAAAGAACATGAGAGAGCCTCTAGAGGAGAACAAGAACTGGGTGTTAACACTGACAAGCGAAGCCACCAACAGAGCTCACACACCTGCTTCTCCTCAGAGCAGGCAAGTGCACTTTAATCAAAGTGAATACTCAGCATAGTTGGGAATGGCAACTCTCATGGATACAGGTGCAGCCAGAGCAGACTGTTTGTTAAAAATTGAAAGATAATACCCTTAAGACACGGCGCTCTGCAGACAACACCTCACTGTCCCACCACTGGAATTACAAGCTCATTTTTTGAAGATGTTGACAGTGAGGAAAAGAAACACAATAAGAAGAACTGCTTCAAGTTCTTTTTTTTTCTTTTTTTTTTCCAGTTTACTTTAAATCTGGAAGGTCAGAGCAGACATTGGTGATAAAATTTAACGTTTAATAGCCCTTACTAACTATATAGGCATTTAAACAAAAGTGAAGCCTGTTATTGAGCCAATTTCTGATCCCAGTTCAGTTATCTCAGTCCATAAATGCAATCATGAGCTTACAAAATATTTAATATTAAAAAAAAAAAATAATCCCAAATTCACAATTCACTAAAGAGAATTTAACAGCTCATAGATTTTTCTATTGGAAAACAGTAAATTGCCAGAGAAATATTGAAATTGGCAAAAGCTTAGTTTTCTTTTGTGCAGTTCTGGAATAGAAGTATAGCAGCTTAATAGACATATGCATGAAATATATTTTCTTCTGCCACAGGCCAAAATCTTGTTTTCTGGAGTACAGAAATAGCTACTCCTCTGTTCCCTAAGGGAGAGAGCAGTTCACACATGAGTCTTCACACCAAATGTCTGAACTTACTTTTTTCCATGGAGTTGGTAACATTTTTGAACATCGCATTCCTTGAAAGCTTCCTAACCTAAAACTTCTACCTCCAGTTTATGATTATAGTAACTTGGAACATGAGGAAACTGAAGTAGGAAGGAACTATTGGGACTCTCATTGCTTGCTAACTAAATTTTCTAAAGTATTATTTGACTTCTGTTAGGAGACTATTTGAGTTCCGTTAGGAATTGAAGATGACAAGCACATTCAATTCCTTTTTTTGTTTTGGTTCATTACAGCACAATCAAGCTTTTCCTTGTCTTCTTTTCAAGCAATTTTGACATTGAAAACAAACAAAGTAAAAGAGAGCAGCAAACACTCTAGCTCACTTATCTTCTACCTTTATACGTTCAGCATACATTTTCTTCTATTTAAAAAACTAATGAGCAATGATATTGTGGGTGATCAGGAAAGCCAGCAATAATTACAAGTAAACTGGATTCAGCTGATCATTGCACAGGAAAGCAGATGTTTGACATCCTCAGTTAGATTTTCCCTACAGAAATTCAGAAATAAAGGCATTAGAGAGCTGTGAGTGAGGTGATAACTTGCCCTGCTGAGCTCCCATGGTAAGATCTAATAGACAGGGGTTCAAGTTCTTGGCCCATCTGTACCAACCATGTGCAGGTCACTCCCAGGTGTCCATTTAAAACTTCACTAAATTGGAGCACAGCTGTTTACAGACACTGGCCTCAGCTTGGCTGATGTATCGAGCTCCAACTTAATCATGGTTCATTAAAAAATGTATGATTTGAATTGATATGCTATTTTGAACCGGTTTAGCCCCAAATTAAGTTATGTCTCAAACACCCAAGAATAAAAAGAAAAGATTTTTCCTGTACCAGGGCCTTTCATATGAAGCTAACAAGGAATATAGACCTTTTTTTGGGCAGAAAGGTTATTCCAGGAAGATCTGCAAGAAGTCCTTTTGCATCTGTGGTGAACTCAGAAGCCATCTGAAGCAATGCAATAACAAGATTAGAATTGCAATACTTTCTGTTTATTAAGTAATTTCCATGTGTGCAATTCCTATGGTGATACTAATAAGAATAAATATCGTATATAAGCCAGGAAGTTTAGAAACCATAGTTAAATTCATAGGTAGGTTTAGGGTTCTTTTAAAAAACTTCAGGCTTCTCAGCATACCTGAGACTAGTGCAATTCCAGTCTAAGAGAATGTTTTGTTGCAAAATCTTGTATTAAAAAATTATTAATGCCTTAGTTAGATTGTAACTTTATTTGCTTTGGATTCAACAGCAAAATATTGATTTAGAGCACCTGTTTTAGTAACTTCAGGCCTAAAAGAAAGAAGTTAATTTCTAAGGTAGGACCATCTTTGATTTCTGTTAAATGAACTACAGGTCCAAACTCATGTTCCTTGGACGTAAACATGTTTTTTGAAGTGCACATTCTAAAATATTTTTATAATATTACAACTATTTATTAGCTTCTGTTTCAGGTGTCCTTGGAGCACCTTTTCTGACAGAGGAATCAGCAAACCAATTTATACGACTTAAAAGACACATACTATATCCTCAGAGCTCCTGGGACCCAAGCAGCAGCCAGAATTCATGGGCACACTCTGTGGCTGAACAGGTATTTTCTTCCACCATCTTTCAGCATCTATAGGAAAAAAAAAATAAAGTACAGGTGTGGACTCAACACGCCACACAAATCCTTTGGGGCAAAAGAGGAAATTTGTCTGATTTATCAACACAGGGAAGGTTGTCTGTAACTCCTGTCTGCTCATTAGTCACACACTGCATTTATTCAGTATCGAAGCTGAGAATATTCTTTCCTGTTTTTATCTGCTTCAGATTAGTCAGTCATGGGCAGCTTTGAGAGACACAGCAAAGTACTACATGGACTTGGACCCTCAATCCTTCAATCCTTCGATATCCATGTATGATGGGGTTTCTCAACTGAGCATTTCGTAGGCTTGGAGTGTATGTGTGTACCTAAGTAAGTAAACTGACCAATATACCAGTGCTGGCAATCGGTTTATAGTGTCATAACGACACAATGAAAAACCTAATTATAAGAGATGTCCTGAAAAATTAAAGAAGATTTGTTTTTACTGTCCAAGTTTAATAGTTATTAAAATTGCGACAGGTTTGGTTTTTTTTTTTTAATTATTATTATGCTTTGGAATAACTCATCAAAAGCTTAAAGAATATATATCCTTTTAAAAGTCCACAGAAGCTAAACTGCCTCCATATAGTTGATTTAAAAATACAGACAGAAAGCAATTCCTGAGGAGAAAAATAAAAGATAAAAACCTCCATCTATTTCAGTAACAAAATTGTATTCAGTGTAGAATAAAACCTCGGCAGAACAAAAAGAGAACTAGACATAGCAGTTGGTAAAAGCAGTATTTATAGATCTGCACAAGAGTACATGAAATGAAGTGTCTCCAACTGTCACAGAGAAATTGTTTAGGACTGTGCTAAAACTGTACACATTTTTGGGACAAAATTTTGTCAGATTTAAGGAACGATTACTAGATGATTCAGTTGGACAAGCATGAGGTAGAACACACACATTATTCCTGTGGAACACTTCTCAGATGAAGATGCTGCAGTGCCTTGAAATGTACAAGAGTGGGTAGAACTAAACTCATACAGTTTCAGGGCTTAAAATATTTGTTAAGACAGCAATCTGATCACTCTGAGATCATCACCAATGAGAAAATGGGTAATCTTCTCATAAAATACCTTGAACTGAATATGGTTTAAATTTAATTGACTTAAAAGCATTCTTTTTGAAAGCGAGTTTCCTTTTGAAGTGTGGCTTTTGAAAGGATTTTTTTTTTAATTTTTTTAAATAAGATAAGAATTTGATTTGGAGAGTCTCAGTTTGAACTTTGCAGGACTGTTCTACCTAAAAGGTGACACCAGTTTCACTCACTCTGAGCAGAAGCAAAGTAGGAAAGAATAGCTGAAAGCCATGATTTCCCTACCCTCCTGCAAAGCCTTGGGTAACTGGAAGGAAGCACCAGGTTATTCTGTTACCATTTCCAGTACTGATATGGGTGGCAGCTCTCTTGGATAGCAGCACTCACTTCTGCCTTATGACAGATCTGAAATTACCTTAAGATGCTTTACTCAGTTCTCTGGAAAAAAAAAAAAAAAAACACCCTCTTTTCCATCAGAAAAATTATTCAAATAGAAAACACCTAACTGTGTCTAATTATTAGTTGTCTGAAGGCTGTGATCACAGCAGCTGCCAGGCGTACTCCAAGACGAGTTATTCCTCCAGAATGATAATCCTAATGATTGCCGTATGACAGGATTAAAGCCAGTTTACAGAAACACATTCACAGGCACTCCCACCGAAGCATGTTAATGATTTCAAAGCAAGGCTAGTTAACTCCCAGACTGAAATAAATTTCTTAATGCTAATGTGACAGAAATTGGCATTCAGAGTTTTTATGAAGGCATGTAGCAGCAAAGACATCAAGCTAGAAGTTACAAAAACTATTATGGATAAAGTAGAACAATTCATTGTTTCTGATTAGTGATAATTCTGAAATGGCAAGCCTATTACAGCATATGCAGGGATCTGGTTCAGGGGCTGTACTTCCAGAAGAAAACATTTGCAAAAGCTTGCAAATCTGAAGACTGCAAATGTTGAAAGGATCTTTAAAATAATTTTGTGGGTTTTTTTTTTTTTTTCTCCCTAAAAGCAATTTATTCCATCTTTTCTAGTGACAACATCAGATCTTATGTGGACTTGCTACAGCAGCCTGGGACTCACCTCCAGCAACAGACAAGGACAAGCTATTAAATCCTACACGTCTTGTATCTACGTTAGGATATGGCGTGTTATGTATTTGCCATTATGTATTTGATAAGACGACTTTATCTCATCCAACTGTCTAACCCCAAAATTAATACATTAATTCTCTGCATAAATACTGCATATTTAATATTTATAAGTACAACTAAGATCTATCTCCTAGTAAATTGAATAAGAAGTTTAACAAAAACAATCACGAGCTTTTAGCAGATTGAGTTTAAAAAAATCTAGTGTTTTCAGGTAAAACATTTTTTTTTTTGACTAAACAATTGCACGTTCCTGCTTCTGTGACTGAAAACCACATTTTTACTTCTCAACACTTCCTTTAGCTACATTTCTGAGAGGCAAGTAAGAAATGAAAATCAGTCATTTTGGGTGGGTAAGAGATGTAGAGCACATGCACTTCACGTACAGTTCTGTACTTCAGGTGCATTTGTGTTTTTTCAAGTACTGGGAACAAATTATAAGCAGGCAGTGTAGTCTACATCCATTTGTGTCCATGTTTTGCTTTCCTCATTTAAACTTCTGTACTTGGTCTTGGATTCCCAAACCAGCTGAATCCACAGCTACTACTGTGAGTTGTTTTTTAATTACTCCTTGGAGTTAGGAATTCATGGAAACATTTGCTACTCCTTTTCTAAAAAAATGGTGATGATAAATGTTTTTTCTGCCAAGTTCTTGTGTTTGGAAGTTTCCTGGTTCCTATTATTGCATCTTATTTGAGAAAATCTTTGAAGAAATATTGGGCTGCCATATTTCTTTTGTGTGTTATTAATATATTGATAACAATTAAAAGGCTTTTTCAACCCTGGTCGAAATTTCTGCATCCATAAGGAGGACCTGTTGGTAAAACAAGATGTATGGTAACCTTATAATAAAAAGGCAGGTGAAGGAAGGCAATTTTTGCTCACTTTTACCTCCAAAGAGCAGATTCTGTGTGTTGTGCTTTCAGTGTTCTTTGCAAATATGCACTGTATAGTGACTGGAATGAATTTGTAGTTAAAAGTTGGATCTTCTAAAAAGAAACACATATTCTGTTTTTTTGGTAATCTCTACCATGCTCCAAGGCCTATCCTTAGGCCATTGTTAATTTCCCTGAATAGGACAATGGGCTTGAAATTGCCATTATTCATTAGCTGAAGCTGAAAATTCATTAAAGCCTTGAAAGAGATAAATGAGGTGCAAGTTTAGTATTTGCCATGTAGGATTTCACATCTTCAGTCACACTACTTAATTATGAACAGTTCATTCAAAGATAAGGGGTGACAAATGATGTATAGACTTAAAGACCTCACTGGTTAAACACAGTCATGGCCTGTCTCTTCTGTCCTCCTTCCCTGTGCTGCTCAACCTTGGATAAGCCAGTGTCGCAGATCCTAAACCTTCCACTATTTCCCCCAGTAATAGTGCAGGCATGACAGAGTTTCTGAAACTCTACAATTTACAGCAAAATGCAGGACTGTAAGGAGAAGCATCCCCTTTTATTTGAAATGGATATACAGTAAAACTCAAAAGATGCACCTGCTCCAGCTGTGCACCGTGCTAGTCCCAGGGATATTGCAGCTCTGCAGGCAGTGATGCCCAAGCCATTTGTGCACCTGTTCCTGATGCGCTGCTGTTTTCTGCCCTGCCTCTCTGATGGATGTTGTTGCTGCCGAGGCAGGGCTTTGTGATCTGTTTGTGAATTAGCTGCAGTTTTCATGCCTGCATGGTAAGTTAAACCAAAATGGGGGCTAATTCAGGAGTTGCTTTTCAGACAGATAGCAGACATCCCTGAAGTGTGGATGACAAAGTCCATAATGAGGTGGAAGGTAAAATGAAGTGCTATCAGCTATCATCTGCTATTAGCTAGTGAGGTAACTGCCCAACATTTATGAGCCATTTGAGGGTTGTCAGAGCCATAAAATTGGAATAACCACTGCCTATTGCCACGAGGACAGTCTTGCAAAAGGCTGGTTTCACAACAAAAATATCAAACAAAGCCAGGGGATGCAATTTGACAGTTCTGTTGTACTTAGACATGACTAATTCCTTTAAAGAAGTTGTTCTGAAAGCCAGAGACTCAATCTGAAAATCCATAGCTTCAAGCTAATGTCACTAATTCAGATAATTAGTCTTGCTGAATTAAATGGGAAGGATTGTGCACGCATGAGTAGCGGTGGAGGATGAGGTGCTTATTTCATGTTATCAAATACATACCACTCATGACAATGAGCAAAGGGCTTTCACACCATTTGAATATTAAACACCTCCATTTGCATTTATTAATAACTGGGGAAAATATTTATCCTGTGAATTTGCTCCCCCTCTTTATCTTCACATATTCTTTCAGCACTTTAACACAAGTGACTTTGGACCCTTTTTTAATGCCTTTTCCAACACACCTTCATATTGCCACCTACAGCTTTTATCTCTATGCTTTTTCTACACAGCACAGATGTACACAGGCAGTAACTTATCAGTGACAAAACCAAAGAATAGTTCTAAACTAAAGAGAACTTCAAGTACATCTATGCTGGTCATGGGGTTTTAAGTAGCGGCCTCAGGACACAGGATCTTTGCTTCTGGTGCAATGGGGAGCAGTTTCTCTAAGTAATTACTGAGTACTGCAACTTTTTTGAGGAAAAAAGCCCCCAAACCACACAAACACTGTCCAGAGACCACAGAGGTCCTGGAGGAGAGGGAGAATGGGCAGAGAGGAAGAGGAGTCACAGAAAGCTGGAGTCACGTTTGTCTCTGTATAGACATTAACTGGATGGATGCAGGAGAACATCTGCCAGGCAGTCTGAGTTTCCACATGTTTTCTGAGTCATGTGAACAGAGTGACTGCCTAAAGTCAACACAATGACAGAAATCAAGATGTCCAAATATCTCAAGGGTGATTTCTAGCTTCAGTAGAAACTTTTCACCAGGCAAGGCCCTAACAAGGTCACCCTTCCATGGAAGTGTCAAGTCAGATCTGCATTATGCTATCTTCTGTCAGAGCACTTGCCCATTCCCTCAGCTTCTTCCATCCCTATTTTTGCGAAGTTAGAAGAACCAAACTACCTTTGCAATCTCTGCTACTCTATCAAACTGAACTGAAAACAGCCCACAGGTTATGAAATTACTGTGGCTAAACATGGGGGATAAGCAGGTACCTACTGAGACAACATAATGGTAGGAGCCATGCTTTGTGAGAGAAACGGATGAAAGACTCAAGTGTAGTCTGATGCCACAGGAGAAATAAGAAAACTCATCTCTCCAATAATAATTGAGAACTGTAGAACCCAAGTAACCTACACACAACACACTTTAAAAATGCTGAATATTGGATAAATACTAAGACACACTGTTTTCTATAAACTCAGCAGGACAAGTGAGCATATAATGAGAAAGAACCATTTATTTTATGATATGAAGTGGTTCCTTCAAACAGAACACTGGCAACTGGTATTCCATGAAAGTTCTACACACTACTTCATCACTGCTATAATTCATATGATTGAACCTGGTCCCAAATGATTTTAATGCATAAACCTTTTGAGCTTGCATCACATTTCTGTTAGGTCCTTCCTTTGCATTTGATCTTCTGTTGTCTTAATTTAAGCCACAACAGCTGAGACAAAATACTCATCTAATCTATACCTGCTGCTAGTTGCCAGTAAAAGTGAGCTGTGTTCAAAGCAATTTTATGTTGTCTGATTAAATATAGAAACCACTCACCTGAGGCAGGTGCATTGCTGTAACCACTTCATGTAGAGTGGAAAATAAATTGTTGTGTTCTGCATCATCCATAGGAAGCAACGAGATTAGTAGTTAGAATGTAAAGACAGAAAGTTATCCAAAAAAAAAAAAAAAAAAAGTTCATCCAGGAAATAAGCATTCTTTGTATGTGATTTTATGTTAATAATACAAACATCACTAACTGCTGTTCTGCCCTAAAAACTGTTGAGAGATATGTATTTCAAACACAATGACATCAAACCTATATAGTCTATTTTCCACTGGCTGGAAAAATGAGAACAATTCTTTTTATGAGAGGAGAGAGGTATTAAGCTGGATATCTGCAAAGGTGATCAGCAAACACCTGTCCCCTTTGAGCCCAAAATAAAGTCAGATCCTACCACAGCACTAGGCAGGCTGAGTGCTGTGGCTGAATACCTTACAGACAAAAAAAGTACTCATTGAGACTTGTAATGAGAGTTTAACCATCACCTCTCTAGGGGAATGAGCTTTCCCTATGCCACTGTGAGTCCATACAGAGGTGGGGGAGGAAGCAGGGACTGCCCGGTGAATTTCAGCCTTCGAGGATCAGCCTGTAAAAGCTTCTTTCTCTGTGAGGTGTAACAAGATAGTCAGCTTGGAGTCACACTTTCTATTCAGCTCCTTACTCCTGGTCATAGCAGTCACTGCTAAGGTGATTTCACGCCAGTCACTGTCTCCTTGGCAGAACTGAATAAGCATGTGTGATCCTATCTGAATAATTCAGCTATGTCCTGGTTGTGATTGAAAGCTGCTGTGCAGCAGAGAGCTCATTCAAGGAAAGCTTAAAAAACATCCTTACAATTGCTGTCAATATTATTATCATAAATCCAATGCCTGACTGTGCAAGGTGCAATGAGAAAGGCTTTAGTCCAGCATCCTCAAAATGCAGGAAGAACTACCTAAGGGCAAGAAAACAACCACACGAAGGAAGTGGCTAAAAAGAGAACCGTGGGTGTTGGTGGTTGCTGCTTAGCACTGAAATATAACTGATTTGGTAGTTATTCATAAGAATGACTGGAAAAGAATCTTGCCTACAATTTCAAACCAGCTTTGGTTGAACCTAGAACTGAGAACTATCAAGTGCTACTTCCTTTCGGTGTCTATGTTGAAGTATTTACGGTGTTACCCTTGCTGTGGAGTTTAGGTAGGAGGCTCAGTGCTGAGAGATCTACCACAAGCTTTCTGATGGAATGGGACCTGCACATCCCCACATTACACTGTGGGCAGGATGCAGTCTGATTTTTGCTATGGTACTTCACAAGACAACTGCCATCACATTATAGCAAAGCTACCTGTACTGACTTTTGGTTTATAATTTCTAAGACCTTGCAGTAATGAAAAAGAGCCCATTTATAAACATTTACCATAGTGAA